TATGTCTATTCATATTTTCATCGGTTTTTAAAAATGCTCAAATTTCTTTTGATTGCTGTTACATGAAAATATATACTCGACATTTATCGATATCGGAAAATCTAGTGTCAATTAGGCTCTTCAAATTGTTTCACATCGTTCATGTACTACAAAATACTTTATAAATTCTTAGTAAACATTTTTATGAGTGCAAGCAATAGAATGCCAAAAAATGGTTAATCGAAATCACGTTGAAAACAAATAATAGCTGAAAATGTTCGAACCAGAAATAGATTCATCGATGGTGTAAACGCAACAAACAACGATAAATCCAAAAATGGAATACAATTCCTCTAAATAATATTTTCCGCAAACCCGTGCTAATACAAATCCGGAAACAAGAAGATTGTAAAGCTGCAGCTATTCGAACATGATTCAGCCATTTGTTTTTCACTCTTTATTAACATTCTCGAAAATAAAAGTTAGTCTTTCCTGTTCCAAATCAAATTTTTCATTAACTTTTATTTATATTGAATTAAAAAGCAACTAGAAATTGTTAGGGTACACAAAATAGCGATAATACTTATAATTTCTATAATATTTAAAATTGTTATACATGTGCAATCAATTACCATAAAAATTAACTAACATATTATAATTATTATTGCTATCGTTTGGTAATGGGTGACAGAGAAATAAACGCATTCGTGCATAATTCGTTGACCTATGAGGTGATCCGCGAGAAAAAGCTAAATGCTCGGTGTGTGTTCAGGCCGGAGGATTTATCAGTTTCAGTGCGGTCGTATATGTGTGTTCGCTTTCACTTCGGAAAGAGATGTTCAGCGCGACACGAGGTGCCGTTAATTTCGATGCATTCCTGAACGCCACCAACGAATGGACTTCGACCATTTCTCCACGCGTTGCATTAGGAAAACCGAGACTGACTCATGTTTTTCATAATCCAAGTGGATTAGCATTTAACTGAAAGCATGGATCCTTCAGAGTCAAACGAGTTAACAAGAATTAATGCTTCATCTATCACCGATTACTGACTGCATAAACCGACATCCATCCAGTCCTGTTGACAATACGTTGATTAACATTTATATCATTTTTGATCCGTGAAAAATAATTATAAAAATTTAATGGGTAGCAAAGTCTGTGGAAACTTCGGTTAGCTAGAATGTATTTTTTCAGAGAGCCTCTTACAAGTAACGGTACGGACGTTCATTCAGGGATCTATTGGAAATCGTTTACGATCAGCGCGGATGAAATGTATTTTTTTGCGCGTGGTTTTTTGATTGGTTGTATAACAACGCGGCAGTTATGAGTTGATTATGCGTTCGCTAGAGGTGGTAGTACCCAGTGCCTACACGGTGTAAATCACCGATTTTAACGAGCCTTTTGAGCGGCGAAACGATCAGGTTAATGATATTGTAATTTCAGGGGTCGACAGTTAACAGTTTTAGTAGATGCTTAACGCTCGGGTCTTCAGACTTCTTTATATGATAATTGACTAACCGTTCACTGTTTTTCCTTCAACTTTATTTCAGTTCCATCAGCAGAGTTTTTTTTCCATAATAAACTAACTTGTTTTGTCATGGTTTATAATGTTACGAAACAAGCATCGTTAACTACGTTTTCTTATTACACTGTACGACAGCAAATTTCTTTTACAATATCTATCACGTGATTCTTCGAGAGCTTCTCGTGCCGAAAACGAATTCGCAAGCAGAAATGCTCTCACATACCGTTTTTATAAAAATGCATAATTTTTTTTTCGTCCTTTAAAAACAATAATGTAGATTGCATTTTTTATATTCTATATAAGTCTGCAATATCGAAGGTATTTTTTATATTTTATATAGATCATACATTTTTCTACAAATGTATAAAATCGGTACTCTAAGGCTTCAAGGAGTGATAATGCGATTCTGTACTCATAATTCCAATAGCATTACTACTAATTGTAAGATTGGATTAAAATCATTCATTTTTCACGTTTTACAGGATGAAAATTGTAAGGCATAATCGAAACGGCTGTAGATTGATTCGTAATCGGGCTTCCGGAGATCGTTATCAGGTTTTTAAGTGGAAATGAAATAATGATGAAAATCGTTCGCGAAGCTCGTAATTCACACATTGAGATAAATGACCGTTTGAGGAACATCAGACCGGTCTACCTGTTCTTAACGACGTCCGATCCGACGATTTTTTCACCGATAGAATCGCGGTTTCCGCGCAGTGAATGTAAATTTCTATTCGATCGGAATTCGAGCGCGGCCGGAATTCATCGAGACAAGAAACGGTTTCTAATTTATAGTGAATCACGTATTATTACCGTTTAGAAGGATTATTTATTATTAACCGACGTGTAAAACGTGTACAAGGCATGTACTGATATTTGTACGACGAGCCCAGATGATGCAGCAAATTAATTTTTTATATTTCAGAAAATGGAGGATTACGAACTTAAGTAGTAATGGCCACTGTAAGGCTTGGAAAAACAGACTACTTTTCACAATTATCACATTGTTCACTAGTAATTTTATGCAGAAACTATCTCATGTTACCGGCTGTTATTTCATAATTGATAATGTGGAAGTGAAATAATCTGAGCAAACGTCAATAAACTTCATAATCACTTCAATAAAATTTGTCAGTACAATTTATTTTAAAAGCACTCAAGTAATCAGATAAAACGTCAACATTCAAAACGTTTTCATCGTCACGTTCCTCCACGGTTGAAATTTTTGGACTATTAAAATTGTGATTTTCATAGGACAGGACTAAACATGGTGAACAAAGTTTTTGCAATATTCTCGGATTTTATAAATTGAAATAATTAATGCAAGAGCAAACACGAGTTAATTCGTGTTCAGTCAACAACGTTTGACATGAAAATATGAGTTAACTTGTGACCGGTTAACATTGCGTTGAAGAACTAGGGTAGTTACATAATTTTTCGAAAATTTTGAAGCATAATAATTACGATTTTTGCGTCACTTGGTAATACTAATTTTAGATATATGTATAATTACCAAAGTGCCTTAGATTTAACAACCCAAATATCTGTTAATACAAGGACTGTCAGAATTGTTATATTACTTGTGGTGTGTTACTTGGGTTTCTTTAATAACTTTGAATTTGGAGATTTACTTGGTGACCACACACTTTATTACTTCTCGATACATATGCAACTTTCTAACAAGAAGGAAGTGAAGTAAACAGTTACAGATATAACCGGAACTTTACATAAAAGTATAGGTAGCGCTGCTGATAGACGCGCGGTGTCTAAAGTATTTTAGATATGAAGTATTTTTAATACATTCCAACAAGGACGAAAAGGTGATTTCTTTGGACCACATTTTTAGTCAATTTAGTGGGTAACATTGACGCTCTACTTTATTCCATAGATACGGAATCTAAGCCCATAACTGAGACAAGATAAATTGACAATAAAGAGTAGATTTTGAAACAGGCAGGATCCCTAAACTCCTTGCTTCGGTGAAAAATAGATAAATAAGAATATAGTGAATATAATAAAAATTTTGAAATAACTCTACTAAATTCAACATGCTTTATCTATTTGTTCTTATTTATGTTTTACAAATGAACACGTTGACCGTTAGAAATTCCTTTGAGGTAGGAGATCAGGGCTGTGAAAGTATTCATAAATTCATGCTAATCGCGGTTTTACTTGAAAGCGTTTCTCGCGTAATCTCGTCGAGCGGTCGTTGGAAAATTAATAAGTACTAAACGCTAATAGCGAGCGTCTCGGGTTAGCGCCGTGTCGCCGCCGCCGCCGCCGCCGCCGTCGCCGCCGGTTCTACGGCAAATCGAACAGGATTTCTGAAACGGGGGTAAAAACGGGAATGGGTCTTTCGCGACAAGAGGACGTGGACATTTATAGAAATTCCTGGACGCTTTTTACGCGGAGGAGAGTACAGGATATCCTTTGACGCTCAGCTTGAGTTTAGCCCCTGGGCTTAAGGCGTATTAACCCATTTACATCATTAGCGTATTTCTAATCGTTATCACTAAAGTAGCTCTATAGGGTGAGTAAATAGCAATCATCATTACTCTGTATTTGTTGGTTTATGTGAAATATTGCAAAATTTATTGTATCAACCGTTTTATCAAACAGTTTATCAAACATTGCCTCAGTTGCTATACGAAACATTCTATCAATTACTATATGAATTAATAATGAATGATATATCATGAACATAAGAAGCATAAGAATTTGAAGAAATTTGGATTCAAACGTTATAAGATTATAGTGTTAAGAGAAGAATCTTGATTTCAATTTGTACATATCTATGAAAAGTTACGTATGGAAAAAGGAATGAGGGAACGTCGAGCAGAGGAAATGTAAATTCGTAAGAAAGCTCGTAATGTTACGTTGCAGCCGGTGTTTGCGAACGCGCGAACGACTATTCTCCGCGTTCTGAAACCCGGGGCCAGAAACGTGGGAACCGGTTACGCGCGATTTCCGCTGCGATCCGTTCCGCGAAATCGTAGGTCGTCGACAATCGTCAGAGTCTCACTTGACTCGGACGCTTCAAAATATTTCATTTAGCTTGTACACTTTATACATATTTTGGTATGATATAGACGAAAATATTGATTTGTATCACTTAATGTCACTTAATGAATAAGTTTTATTAAAGATATAAATCAAGTTTGATTCTGTGGCCGATACGGCTAGAATGAGAATAAATACTACAGTAAAATTTACTATTATTACAACTGTTAACGATAAAAATATATAATAATTTGTCCAGGTTCAACTATTCAGCAAACATCACTGGAAATCACTATTATCACCATTATTACATACATGTGTGTACATTCCATATCTGTTGAAGTATAGATAAGCTGTAAGATGAGAGAGGTATAGTTAACATGCTGTTTCTTTCTCGCTGCACGAGATGGGTAAGCAAGCAAGTTGTTAGCCAATTGTTTCCAGTTTTATGCAAATTGGTCCCTTATATACAACTTTGAAGATCAGTTTCTTAACTAACGATCAAACCACGCAGGACGAACACCGGTTCTCGTCTGATCACCGAAGTTAAGATGCGTTGGGCATGGATAGTACTTGGATGGGTGACCGCCTGGGAACTCCATGTGTCGTTGGTTCTTTTTTCTCTATTTTTATAATTTTTAATCATCATTTAAAAATAAAGTGAATGTCTCAATTCCTACTCATGTTCCAATTTCTACTCACTGTGTTGTATTTTTCATGAATTCCAACATAATAAACGTATAAAGTAAAAGTGTAACGAAAAGCATTTTTAATATTTTTCAACATTGTTATGGATAATTCCATAACGTAATATAAACTGTAAGACTCAAATGGCTTGTAAAAAATAATTAAAGATCATCGAGAAAGATCTTATCCGAATATTAAAAATTGTTGCAATTTGTGCCTCTCGTTACTCGACACCGACAATGTATATTCGCATGAAATACGAGTAGACGTTTCATTTTTGAACCGCGTTACAAATCGCAGAATCTTGCGCGGCGTGCAATCGTTATTTCTATGAACCTGATTCTAAATAGCCAACACCCACGAGATACTCGAGCCTTTATAAACTGTCAGTTAACCTGACAGCGATCAGCTTCGAACAATCGAACCGCGTTCCCGCAGCATCGACGAGGAATCCTTGGTAGAGAGAAAAACGAGGCGGGATATTCGAATTTCTACTTAATCGATCAAACCGATTCTTTCCCTTCCCACGGAATCAATCTCCGCGTTGAACCTCGGGGTTGCGCGCTTTCGATCCGCCTACGCTCCGTTATTTTCACACAGGGACACGCGGCGTGAAGGTACGATCTATGTTTAGCCCGCGAGAGAAATTGACCTTTTCCTACCAATATAATCGAACGGAAACGCCGCCGAGCGGTTATTCCCCGCGAATTTCGCGAGCCTCCCGATAATAACCGTGAACTTCCAGTTGCGTACAACATAAGCCGCTGTATATTATACAGGGTGCTCGAAAATTTGCTCATTTCTCCCGTTGCATTGTTACCTGGCAAAGTAATGTTACAAACATTTAGAGAGTAGACATTTTGTTCACTTACATCAGATTTGTATGTGCTGAAAATTTTATCGTAGTTGTGAGTTACAACTAGGGAAAGTGATGGAAATCGAAATTTCTACGAATTTTGGCCTAAAATCTACGCTTTCTTCGGCTTCGACGAACTTCAATAAATTTTCCAACGTGTCTGATAATTTTCATTACAAGTCCAGATTAATAAGTTGAAAAAAGCGATCTTTACATTTTTCTTTATGACTTTTATCAATTTCTATCCGAAATTTTTTGTACACATGATGTTCATTCCTCATTTTTGTGAAGATTCCTAACAGTTTCCATAATTTTTCAAGCATTTCATATGTAATTTATAGAAATTGAAACGATTTTGAAAAATGATCGTTGATCATTGAAGGCTGATTAATTGAAGTGTTTTGAAAATAGGGATTAAATATTAGAGCACACTGTATGTCAGCTGGCAACAATCGAGGGGAAACTTTCTAATAATCACGGGGGCCTGTGCCGCTTTCACGCGAATCGCGGCGATGCGTTTCATTAAAACCTCGGTTTTCGTCCCGATCGAAATTATAGATCTTCCTGGTACGGCCTCTATCGATATCGGTAATCAGAAATTACTTACAATATGCGTTCCCCTTCCAAGGCCACGAGTAACTGTATCCCTCTTCAGAAATCCTGACCCGATGCACTTAATCTGAAAAGAATGAACGTGTAATATCACATTTATAGAACGAAAAATACTTGTAATTAAAACTTTTTAAATATACTTTTAAGAAATATAATTCTATATAGGAAAGCAATTTAAAGATAATAAAGAATGAAATATTAATACAGGCATTAATGATGAATTAAGGAGAAGTAAATTAATGAATAATTAAACTAAGTGTTGTTTGAAATTTTCCTAATGACGATCGTGGTGGGATTGATCATTCGAACGTGAACTTAATTCGAAGAAGATTCGTTAACTATTTGCCATTCGCACACGGCGGCAGCGCCTGCGTGTTTATCCTCGTTTCACCATTAAACAATTTAATTAGCGGCGAGTCTCAAAAGAACTTCCGGTCGGGCGTTCCTCGGCACTCGGTGGGACGACGCGAAAACTTCTAATTGCTTACGCGAGACCGCTTTAACGAGCGGATCCATCGCTGTAGAAAACGTTGATAGATACCGGAGTACCAGTTTTCCAACCGACTGTCCGTCAAACGTGATATCGTTACCCAGCTATTATGTTAATAACGTTCTGATAGCGAAATTACTCATCAAGTTTCTAAACTAAATAAATAATATC